GGTCGACTACGTGGGAGTCCAGCGACATAGCCATTACGCTAACTGCTGGCTCCCAAAACTTATTTTTTTCAGTTTGTCAGAGAATGCGTGCGCTCACCAGAGAGAGAGAGGAAGTGAGAAATCACCCCCATGGTGGATGGGCACGCTGACATCCCTTCTCCATTTTCCTTCGGGATTTTGGGCATGTACGCACACACACTTGGTATGTGTCTCAAGCTGCCGGATCTAAGACTCCAACCGGTGGTCAGCCATGGGAGTTCTAGGCACCTTAGTCGTCATGCTATGGGCTGGCCCTGGTTTAATTCTGTGTTTTGTTGTTTTCTGATCGGCTGTGTGCACTCCCCAGACGGACAGAGAGAGAGAGAAAGGGAAAGGGAAAACCCAACCCCAGCAGGGATGGCCACGCTGCGATCCCTTCTCCATTCTCCTCTCAGGATTCTGGACACATATGCGCATGTACCTGGCGTGTTTTTCAAGCCACTGGGTCCCGGCCTCAAACTGTAAAATCAGCCATGTGGAATCCAGCAGCCCTAACCACTGCACCACTGGGTGATCCCTAGTTTTATTTTATTTTATTTTTTTAGAGATTTTTCTTGTTGGAGAGACAGAGAGAGAAAGAGAAATCACTCCCTAACAGGGACAGCCATGCCGCAATCCCTTCTCCATTTTCCTCAGGATTCTGGGCACGTACACACGTACATGGTGTGAATTTCAAGCTGCCAGATCTGGGACTCGAACTGTGGTCATCCATGTGGGAGTCCAGCAACTTAACCACTATGCCATCTGCTAGTCTCTTCCCCCGCTCTTTACTTTGAATACAGAAAAGTACTAAGTAAATGGAAGGCTCATAACCCCTCACGTACCAGGTGGCCCCTTTGAACAATATTTTAAGAGTATTAATACGTGCGGGGCCAGCAGGTGGTGTGTGGTTAAGGCGCCGGACTCCCACTTGTCTGAATGCAGTTTAAGCCCCAGACCTGGCAACTGGCCTTCTCACTTTGTCTCTGTGTCTCTCTGGTGAGTGCACGTGCCCTGTAACAATTTACAAATAATGACACGGGACCAGCGGATGGCATAATGGTTACGTTGGTGACCTCCCATGGAGTCGACTGCAGTTGGGGTCCTGGACCTGGTGGTGCCAGATGCATGTGTGTGCGTGCCCAAGATCCCAAGGGGAGAATGGAGGAGAAGGGACTGGAGTGTGGTCATCCCCCCCAGGGGGTGATTTCGCGCTTTCTGTCTCTCTGGAAAGTATACGGACCCTATAGCAAACATCTCTCTAAAATAATAA